ATGGCTAGCAGACGGAAGTTCATGGACCGGATACGTAACAGTATTCATCCTGACATTTCTTTCTTTCATTCAGTTGTGGATTCATGTCTTAATGATAGCCTGTGTTTTATATAACATGTTATTTTTGTTCCTTTAGATTCACAACACATTCCTACAACTCCTACTGCAAACCGTAACAAGAGGAAAATGCAGCAGATTTATGCTAACACTAGTTTGTCTTATGATTTAGTTCTCTAGACTCGAGAAGTGATTAATAAAGAGGAATCTATCTGCTCAGTAACAGAGGGATGGATGATTAGTAGAGATATGAATTGAACCAATCATGAAGTGCACATGTATCCTTGCTATTTTAATGCATTTCTTAACCTATAAATATGTGTGTAATATTTTAGTCATAGTGTCGCTCTGCTGTGTTTAAAGTGACTCCTGGCCAGTAGCTAATAAACATTCAGGCAAAGAGTGACTTGGGACTCGCGTGTGATAGTTTACAATGGGGCTAAATGAGGACTCGTGTAAAAGGCTCATTTAAAATTATTACAGACTTATGTAGCAAATGAGCATAAAAAAAATTACAGAATATACTTTGAGACAAAGGTCTTGTTAATGTTTTCAGTTTTGTTGAAGGTAATTACATCAACAGTTTTTCAATAACTGAAGAATATGAAAAGTACGGTATTTGGGGTAAAAAAGCATCCCTATACTGTTAGCTAATGTGATAAATAGCTGTCTGACTTTCCATTTGTTGACATGATATGGTTAATGTAGACAACAGCATTTATGAAGTTCATTATTGTCCACCTTAGAGATAATCGCCACATTTTTAATGAAACATCGTATTTAAAAATACAGTCAAACCAAACATTATTCAGACACCAGATATAATTTTGATATTTTTATTAGTGGGTGCAGGAAACTATAGTTCATAAATGTAAGTGAGGATAGCAAAATAAAATGAACTGTGACATATTATACCCAAAAATGCTTCATACAGTGGACTCCCAGTAAAATTTGGGATCAAAAATTATTCAGACACTTTGACCTGAGCAATTAAATAAGATAAAATATTATATTTACTGAGACTACTATAAAGCCATATTAAGTTATAATGGGATCTTCAAGCAGTGTAAGAATCTTTTTTTAAAGAAAATATTCTGTATTTTGTAAACACATTCTGCAATGTACTCCGTTAACAAAAGTAAATTATTAATTTATTTAAGGGGTTTGAACTGAGGGCAACAAACAAAACCACTGCTAACGGAAAACACATTTGTGTAATTTTACCTTTTATTCGAAACCTTATAGTTACTGAGATGTGAAGAGACTCACTGTAGTTTCTTCAGTTTACAGTGTGGATCCTCCAGTAGAGCAGAGAGCAGCTTCACTCCTGAGTCTCCTGGTTTATTAAAGCTCAGATCCAGTTCTGTCAGGTGTGAGGGGTTTGATCTCAGAGCTGAAATCAGAGCAGCACAGCCTTCCTCTCCAATACTGCAGCGCCACAACCTGCGAGAGAAAGAGAAAAACAGCTAAAATCAATAATTAATAGTCATGTGTTATAAATGTTTGTTATTGAAACAATGTAACACTATTCATCTCCATCTCTTCAATAAAAATATGTCTGATTTGAAAAGTGTGTTTTCCTTTATAAAGTGATGGATATTCTATTTAATGATTTATCAGTCAAATACTGCGTGCATCTCTAATGAATACTCACACAAATCTCAGTGACATTGTATTCATCCTGACATTTATTTCTTTCATTCAGTTGTCGATTCATGTCTTAATGATAGCCTGTGTTTTATATAACATGTTATTTTTGTTCCTTTAGATTCACAACACCTTCCTACAACTCCTACTGCAAACCGTAACAAGAGGAAAATGCAGCAGATTTATGCTAACACTAGTTTGTCTTATGATTTAGTTCTCTAGACTTGAGAAGTGATTAATAAAGGGGAATCTATCTGCTCAGTAACAGAGGGATGGATGATTAGTAGAGCTATGAATTGAACCAATCATGAAGTGCACATGTAACCTTGGTATTTTAATGCATTTCTCTTTCTCAGCAATCAGAAGCTTCGATGGATAGATAAAAGGGCCAAAGTCAGCTCATTCAGGTTTGAAACAATGGATCCAGAGAGACGTAAAGAAATAGGTCGAGGACACCAGAGAGGAGGAGGAGAAGGAGTAGGGAGTGGAGGAAGAAATTAAGGAAGAGGAGGAGGAGAAAGAGGAAGAGGCCTATATATATATATATTTCCCTGTTACACTTAATGTTGTCACATTTTCCTGGTTAAATAAATATTACATAAAAAAGCAAACAAATATAATTCTATTTTGTATTTTATTATTATTATTTTGTATTTTATTTAATATTTGTTATACTAATTATACATTTCATAGTGTTTTCATGCATTTTTATATTTATTCCAACAACAATATTAAAAATATAACAATTTACAATATTGTTTCATTAGTTAACAATAGTTAACTACTTTAGTTAACATGAACTAAGAATAAACAATAGCCTACTTCTACAGCATTTATTAATCTTAGTTAATATTAATTTCATCATTTACTAATGCACTATTAAAATCAAAAGTTGTGTTTGTTAACATTAGTTTATGCACTGTGAACT